ACTACTATTTCTACTACTACTACTACTATTACTACTAAACTGCCACTACTGCTACTACTGCTGCTGCTGCTGCTGCTACTGCTTCTGCTACTGTTACTGCTACTGCTCTTGCTGCTGCTACTGCTACTGCTACTGCTACTCCTATTACTACTCCTTCTCCTACTCCTACTCCTCCTACTATTACTACTACAACGACGACGACTACTACTACGACTATCACTACTACTACTACTACTACTACTACTACTACTATTGCTACTACTACCTCTACCCAGCCACTCGGCACCAGCCACTCAGCTACTCACGCTTTTCTTGCTGTCAGCCACTCAGGCTTTCCTTCCAATCAGCCACTCAACCACTTAGACTTTTCTTCCTGTCAGCCACTTTGCCACTCAGGCTTGTCTTCCTCTCAGCCACTCAGACATTTCTTCCTGTCAGCCACTCAGCCACTCAGGCTTTCTTCATGTCAGCCACACAGCCAGTGACTGAAATGGTATATGGCGAGCAAGCTACCGACAAGAGTCAAGAGGGTAAAAAGATGATGTGTGTTTTTCCTACCAGCCTTGAACTACCTAGGACCTAGATCATCCCAGGCCAAATAGACCCGAAATCGGCCATTGAATGGCTCGTTGAAGTGACACTGACCCGGAGTCTGGGAGGTTCTGGCAAAGCCACGGTCCCACCCACAGGTCTGCTTAACTCCTTGAAAAGGTCTGCGAGAGTGAAGAAAAGGCTGAAGATGAAGGAAAGGAGCGCACTATGTGGACATGCACCGGGAGGTGGGAGATTTGGATCCTATGTGTCCAGAAGTTCAACTGCCAGCCTTATCAAAATGCAGGATTGATGAACGTTTGATGTGCGTGTGTGATTTTGTTGCTGACTGGATTTCAGATTGTAATGACCCTCTTCGTTGGGCTCAAAGTTTTCCACATCACATGGAGTCAAAGGAGACAAGCAGATAACGCCTTGTTTGTTCAAGGACCTGCCACTTAGGACGAGGCTCAGTGAGGGGTTTTGATCACCTACTCTTATCCTGCCCTTCTGGCGCTAGGATTGCAAGCTCATTGATGTAGGCAGCTTGCAGACTTCAAAGCCTCTGATATTCATCAGCTCCGCTGGGGGAGAGGTTTTCACCAACTTTGCTTTATGTCAAAAAGAACAAAGACATCAGATTTCGCATGAAGTCCTCAAAACTCAAAGTAGCTGCGGCTACCAGACCGGGTTGCAAACCTGCTTCTTCTTTATCAGCATCAAAACCACCAGCACCTGACAATCTCCGGATCTCTAATTCTTTACTCGAAGAAAGCTCCAACTGTCTTAGAAACTGCACAGCGACAGCGCCACGCTTTTTGACGACATCATCCCAGCGTGATTCGCCGCATCGTCGATGCCCAGCTCCTGCCTTCGTGAGGTGTAGCGAGGGGGGATTGGTTTGCCTGGCTCTATGGTCCCTTTTGTCAGAAGATCTCTGTTTTGACCCAGAACTTACAGTAGATGAAAGGCAAGAGTTGGGCCAAGCAAGGAACTGGTCTACTAACTTTGCACGCGTGCATCGACTTGTTTTCAAGCCGCATTTCATGCCTTTGTGTGTGGGTTGGTCCCTATCACCTATTATGACCTAATCGGAAAGGGAGGCTGTAGGGAGGCTGTAGGGGTATGAGTGGCTTCCATTGACTGAGATGTGATTTCCATCCCAGAGTGTGCAAAATGGTTAGCTGTGCGCTTTGAGAAGGGGATGATGGGTGGGGCTAATAGGGGTCCCATCAGAACCCCTACTGTCATGTCAACACATGGCTGGCCTCTCCATGTGAACACACCTTCACTCACCACTGGGGTGGCTTTACTCACTCATGGTTCAGTCTGTGTTCATCACATTTCAACCCAACTAACCTGTGTTTGTGCCATGGTGAACTCCATCCAGGGAGCAGGGACCAATACTGTATGAGAAGATAGTGGTACAACTTCTAGAGTTCACTGCAAGCTGGTGTCTAAGCTGTGCCAACCAAACCCACTTACATACCAGAAAGGTGTGGGGTGTCACTTCTCACAATGTAGTTTCCCACACTGCAGTTCACACTTGCTGTGTTGTGTGTTTGATGATTTGTGCATGTTTGATCTGATTTATGTATCTGTTTGATGGTCTGCTGGTCTGATGCTTGGTGGTTTGATGGCTTCAGACTTGTTTAGCTTTCTTTAGCTTTTCTTAGCTCTAGTTAGTTTAGTCTAGCTTTTCTTGGACCTCCATGGTTTTTACATGGACAGAGTTAGGGCTAACTTTTTCCTGAAAAGCTTAAAGCAGGTAGGTTTAAAGGTGAATGAAATGGTTCTGAATGATTGTCGGGAATGGGACTTGCAACGAGGGACGAATCTGTTGTAGAACTGGTATATCCTTGTCACTACATAAATGAACCCATTGAGAGAAAGAGAGTAAGTTTGACATTTGCACATCGGTACATATAGATATTTGAGATTGAGACAACCAGCTTCTCTTTTGGTAGATTCTGTATGGCAAGGAAGTTTGCATCATCTTAGGCAAAGAACCACCACCTTTTGCAGGGAACACCAGTATCTAATGCTGCCTTGATGAGACTTTCCTCCATCCAAGCTGCGAAGCCGAAAGCCGTGAAGCCGAAAGCCGATCGATCCCAAAGGGACTGAGTTGGAGGACGTCGGTGTATCCAATGCCCATGTGATCGAATTTGCTTCACAGATCTCTGGATGTCTCCAATCTCCACCGGGCTGGGCTTCTCACTCTGCCCTCCAGCGGGTCAGCTACGCGCACCCGGTCAGGGCGAGGGCCGAGCGAGAGGAGCTAAGCATCGGCGGGGAATCAGCCGAAACGAGGGAAACACGAGCCGAAACGTCGGCGTGGTCGGGTTTGAACACACTACACGAGGCATCTCCGCAAGCACCTTCCTTGATTGGAAGCGGCCAGAGGCTACCAATGGACCAAATGGCCAAACAGATGTAGAGAAGGCCCAAGACCCAGAATCATTGAATCCTTTGTATAAACAATGGATTCAGACGGTATTTAAGCCCTGACACATGTGAAGCCGGACCCGATGTTCGCAAGTTACGGTCATGCTGAGTCCCGCATGCATGGTATGGGTTGACTCCTTTTCCCCGCAATGCCTGGCCAAGGCTGAAGAAAAGCCCCATAGCCCATTGTAGGCCATAACCTTCGAGGGTAGACCTGCCACTGAACGCCATGGAATCTAGGTTTGAACATTATGAAGGAACTACAGCTGGGGTCAGGCTCACATCAGTGTTGCTTTGACCAACTTCAAAAAAGGGCGGTGAACACTGCTGTTAAATTTGATGTCCAATGGTTTGGACCATTTTGGAGTATCTGTGGCACTCGCATGCCGTAGTAGGTCACAATCCATCCGTTCTTCTCCATTGCTTAGCCTTCACACTGGGGAGTGAACGGATGGAACTGGATCACCCTGTGCAGATCCTCATTTGGAGCCTTTGAACTCGCACCCCACCTCTGGTCCACCACCGGACCGTCGGACCCGTGGGTCTCAAACCGACCAAGTCCCACACATGCGTTTACGCCGCGCCCAACTTGCCGGCGCAGGCAGAAGTCCGTGGCCTTTGATGAGGTGCAGATGGGGAACACCTTGGGTTTGGGTGGCAGTGTTGATGTGGGGGTCCTGGAGGCTAGCTTGGAGAATTTCTGGGGACCTTGTATCCCTTCCAGCCCCCGAATCCCCCCGTGGAGCTTCATCTTTGCTTGTTCTGACGTCATGGTCTTAGCTGAAACTCCCAGATCACCTCGTTGCCTTCCGGATCACTTCGTGTGGCGCCGGAGGAGGTGGAGGTTTTGGAGTTCTCGCGCCTGCTGGGTGGTTCGGGAGGAGCCGCTGGGCGGACAGCGAGGAGTGGGTGATGGAGGTGAGCTGGAGGTGATGGAGTGGATGGAGGTGAGGTGGGGGTGGACGGTGAGGGGGTGGTTTGCTCAGGTTCTCATGAGCTTCCGAACTAAGATTTGAACGTTGTGTTTTCTCACATGCCATGGATCCCACACACACGGATTCCCACAGTTTTGAGTTTGACCTCCTCCCCCCCCAAACACCTCCCTCAAACCTCCTGGTTTGATGGTTCCAGGCCTTTTATTTTACACCAAGTGACCAAGTGCCCTCCTCCCGCAGCTTCCGCGCCGATGGCGTGCGCCCGAGGTCCCGACCGATGGCACCTGGGCCACGCTGGGGCTCGGAGAGGCGCAGCGCGTGGGGGGGGCGCCAGGGGCCTTCGGTGTTTTCTCCCTAGCTGAGGTTTGAAGGGTCCTGGTGGGAGGAGGAGCGGTGACTCAGTTTGGGGGGGGCCATCTGCAGTATGACTCAGTATGATGATGGGCACTGGTAATAGTTTGGACCCAATATTGCCTTGAACGAGCTAGCCTGAAGCAGGTTTAGGACCTGCCCGACATCCAATGACCGACTTCGAATCTGTTGTCCTCACCGACTCCAAATGCCGTCAAGAACATTCATGGGGATGAAGCTGCGCTGAGACCAAACACTGCCTACGATGTTTGGTACGAAATAGAAGAGGATTTCAGGTTCGCTAGATTCTCCTCCCTATGGCAATCCACAACTAGTGCAGAGCGCACACGGGATCAGTATATAATCGAGGCGATCTTGTTGATAGAGGAGAAATACCTCAGATGCTGCAGTCACCGTCGCGCTGTTTGAGTCTATCAGGTGGTTTGGGCTAGTGAGCAGTCTTGGCGCAGGTGACCTCACCCAGGCCCACCTGATTTGCACATGTTCAACAGCGTTTTCGGCTTGAGCACCTGACAAGCATGAGACGCTCCAATTTTCTAAGACCACTGATAAGGCCCTACTTATCCAGGAAGAAGGCATGGCAGGTCTCCGGGCTTTCAACGCGTCTCCTGTCTCCAAATGATTCAGATCAAGTACACTCGAAGTGGAAAACCACTTGTTTCCAGAACATACCGAGGGTAAACGCGGGTGACATACACGTCCTCAACATCACAGGACAAGTACTTGTCATTTTGCTTCCATGCGCGACCATGAGCGACATGTCAGCGGAAGAGATGCGGGGCATCGCCAAAGAGGCGCTGATTTATGGATGGCCGCTGTGTGAGAACTACAATGTGCTCTATGCCTCTTGGAGAATGAGACAACTATATACAATGGTAGGAAACCACATAGCCCACGAATAACTTCACTCGCAAAACTACACTGTTGACATCTTTCCCATCTTTCTTTTTTAAGGCTGGGAATCCTTCCAAATCAGAAGGATGCATGGTTTGGAGCAGCCATTCGGAATGCTGGCGGGTGATTCGAGCCATCAGTCGCATGATTTCTCCTCAGGACACACGCTGAGCTCTGATCATTCTTGATCCTCTTGGTTGGACAGTGCATGAAAGTGCCAGAGATGTTTGTGAGTTCAGTCTCCCCACCTCCTCACCTTGGTGGCCTTCAGGCCAGTCTCGGAAACAACCATTCGTTGGAGCATGGGAGCTGCAAGACGTGTCAATTGAAGATCGAGTTCTTAGGTTGTATGGCCACTCCCAACTCTTGCCGCATGTGACCTGATAGTTGGTTCTAATGCGACTACCCAATGAATTCACAGGAGGTGAAGTGACTTGGTCGATGAGCTTCCCTTTATGCGTCGTGTTGTGGAACCACGCTCCTCTCAAACAGTTTGCGTGACGAGCGAACACGCACTCAGCGTCTTTTGGGGCCTAGGCCTACTGTCTTGACAAGACACACAAGGACTACAAGGCGTGGAGGACTTCAACAGTCTTATCAGAAACGGCGGCTGGACGATGGATCAGACAGATGGGTCGGCTTTGTTGTCCCACATTTTTCGATCCAGCTTTTGCCATGTTTGATGCTCATTTGGGACTTGGGTGAACTTGGTTCTCACCGGTTCTCCATCGTTTGTGCCCCGGAGCGCTGTGTGCTGTGACAACTGGCTAACACGCCCAGTGACCTTCTTGGAATCAACATGATGTGGGACACTTATCAGAAGGCTAGACTCTACTTTCTCAGAGATGCTGCTGCTTCTTTTCTTAGTCCGTTGAACGAAGAGACCGGAGAGCGCCACCCCGCCGGGTCAGCGACCTAGGCCCTAGTCCCCCCTAGTCGCGCTCTTTCTTCCTTTCACCTCACCTGGGCTTCACACCCCAACCACCTCCACCTGCCTCTGCTGTTCCAGTAGAGTTGAAGGCGCCCTTCAATGAGATCTTCAATGTGGCCCAAGTCTTCACACCGGAGGACACAGCGGTCATCACCCCCAACAGCGATACACCTTACAGCACCGTGGCTTTTGGCGGGTCGGGAGGATTCATGGAGCGATATGGAGCGCTTCCTTCTTTTCAACAAAAGCTGCGGAGTCGAGGAGTCAAGGAGTCAGAGGCTTCTGGAATAGTGAATCATGTCAGGTGCACATGAAGTTTACCAATCCTATGCTAGGATATGACCTTGCGCAACTACCTTGAAATTCGACTTGGTTATCCTGAATATTCCACTATCATACCTGGACCTTCAAGGGGTGGCACCTTCAAGGACATCCCTTAGTGGTGGGCTGGGGCTGTCCTCGGCTTCGCTGAGCTTCGGTTCCCTCGGAGGTTGGCTTTGGATGGACCTCCGCGCCGAGCCGGTGGTCGTCACCCTGCCAGCCGTGGAGGCGTGCGGTCAAACCGAAAAGGAAGATGTAGAGCAAGACCAGGGCCCTTAAACTTGGCGATGACCAAAACATGGATTACCAACCATATCAAGTGTGGTGAGAAGCGACGTTGCTGGAGTCTCAGGCCATCGCGGAAAGCAGCATATACTTATATGTATATATATATAGGCTGCTCTGAGCGTGGCAACCTAGCACTTGGAACCATCAGAGAAAGTTTGAGTGCAAACCCTGGTGGATCCCGGGATGGCCGGCCATGCCAGTACCCTACAGAACCCATATCGGCTCTCTCCACACCGAACGAATCGAGTGGAGAACCCGGTCGGAACGCGTTCCAGCGAGCGAGCGAACGAGTGACCAGACGAAGCGGAGAACGTCCACGTCGCCAGGAGGATCGCTACTATTCCGTCCAGCTCGTGGACCTTTACACGCACAATTTTGCCTACCTGGGAACGCGCTGCACTGGAAACCGAGGCAGTTCTGACCAAAAAGAGAACGGGAGTTGGATTATTGTCGCTGCAGTGGCCACTGCAGTGGTGCTTTGATTATAGGTTCTGCAACCACAACGTGTACAGTTCCAACCAGTGCCCCAGCTCACGTCAACAGGTGGCAGCTTCATGATCACCGGCCCGGGCTGGACGGACGGCGGCTACAGCGGAGCCTCTGCGCCGCTGAAAGTGGATCGGAGCATCGCGTGCGAGACGCCCTTTGCGCTGGCGGTGGTGCGGACACAGCTGAAGGCGAAGAGAAGAAGAGATATATGGGATGTGTCCATCAGACTTCATGCGAAAAGCATGAACCACACTTGGACTTTAAGAAGGATTCTACAGCAAAAACATCCTAGATGGCCTTTAAAGGACTTCACAGCCTTAATATCAATAGCTTGGAATTCTTCGATACGTGTTGAAGGCTTGACGGTTCCGTGGACCAAAAACACCCGACGTCTTGATGGCTCGGTTGATCACCTGCGACGCGACGCAGCGAGTTCCCCGCTGCAGGGCCCTGATGACCTGGATCGGGTGAAGGAGATTCAGAAGGGCTACAAGGCCAAGCCGGCCTACCGGCCGATCGAACGAACGTGAGCACATGGCGAAGCTGAAGGAACCTGAAGGAACCTGACAAAGATCGAGGTTCTGGTCTAGGACATTTCATCGTTTTGAAGCAGTCTTAGAAGAACTGATCTATACACAAGTCTTGTTTCCCCCAACTCAGCTAGACTCGCTGGCACATTTGCAGTCACACTTCGAGGGCTGCACCAGCCTGGTTAGAAGCCAGGTGGCCACCCTCAGCCAAGCGTTGGGGAAGCCGAGTCCCAGTCCAGCGAAACCAGTCGCATGGCCCAAGACTGACAAGGCCATGATCATGACGACGCAGATGCACCTGGGACCACCTCGTGTCGTTGGGCCGGACCTCCATGTGGGTCTTTTTTGAGTCGAGAGAAGTTGATGCCTTGCTGTTCAAGATCGGTTTCGGTCCGGTTCATTTTGGCCCTTGGCTTCGGCTGAAGTTTTGGACCGTCCCAGTTTGGCCCTGGTGACTAGGGGTCATAACTGGCATTACAGGAAGGTCAGATTTGAAGACTTTGAAGGGCTCATCCAAAAGGTCACAACAAAAAGTCCGTCAATTGACATGGTGTGGTTTCACTATGACAGCTGGAACAACACATTTTGTTTACTGTCACATATCTAGGCGTTTACAAGACACGACCATATTACTATATGAATATTTATTGATGTTATATCATAGATACATGTGCAACAAGGAGTTCACATCCACACCTTCTTGTACCATGGCCGGCTGGTATCAGGTCACCTCCTCAAACCGGTCACCGTCTCAAGGACTAAACAGCACCCTCCGAGGTTCGAGATTCTCGACTTCCTTTTGAGTCTCTTGCCGTTGCATGGCAGTGAGATGGTGCTCCGGCAACGCCTCCTGAAGCTGGGCTTGGGCACCGGAAGCTTCCAGCTGAAGACCAGCTCGCCCGAGTTGCAGAGCGCGCTGGAGCTGGGGATGAAGGATGGATGGGCTGAGTACGAGGAGGAGGGGTGAGGGGTGAGGGGTGAGGGGTGCAGCAAGAGTCTCGAGAGTGGAGTTGAGGGTTGGCAGAGTCGTGACTTGGGGGGTTGAGAGGATGAAGAGATGATGAGCGTCATACACGGGTCGCACGTTTTTGCTGTGTTGGTGAACTGTCCGGTGTTCCTCATCCGCAGGTCATCGAGAAGGGCTTCGCACAGGGCCGGATGACCAGCGGGGACCTCTTTGGCACCCGGGAGTTCTTGAAGAATGAGTACATCCGACGCTTTGGAGGCCGAACGGGGAAGGCTTTCCGTGTTTTTTTTGTTTCTTTTTCAACATGTCTTCATGTTGTAGTCGTGAAAGTTTTTTCTTTTTTACATTTTTTTCAGAACTTGATGAGGCTTTGAACTTGACTTTTCAGGAACCGGCCGAGTCTTTGAGGCCGAGTCTTTTGAAGAAAGGACCCCGACCGTCGGACCGAGCGATGGGCAGGTGCGAAGCTGGGGATCTACGGGAACTCCAGGGAGGAGGCCATGTATCTTGGAGCCAGGGAAGGGAAGGGATGTAATGTCTCCCGAAAGGTTTCCAGTGGAGGAACAAGGGAGAGGAGCTGACAGATTGAGTTTTGTTCTTTTTTCACGAGAGATGAAGTATCGACGGAAGGATGTGTTGACCAGATCCTTGGTTTGGACAAAAGCGTGTTTCCTGGACGGAAGGATCCGAAAGGATCCGGAAGAATTGCGTGTGGGGGAAACAGACACCACGATCGTGTGTGAGGCGACGATCTCACCACGATCTGCTGAATTCGCATGTTCTGGACCGATGTGTTTCGGGCACCCGAGGTATCCACTCTACAAGACCTTAGATGCTTGGCACATGGGACATCCGTGAGGTGAGACGGAGAAGAGGGCGAGAAATTCCCATTTCCAAAGAGAAGCCTAGAACATGGGCCACTCAATGTGTTTGTATTTTTTAGGACCGCTTGCACCTTTCGCAGCGTCGCCCCGAGTTTTTGATTTCTTTCTTCCTTTTTTCCGGTGCACAGTTGTCGTGCGCTCCTTTAAGAGTTGGGGAGGGTGAGAAGCCGTTTTCTCTGAAGAAGCAATATCTTTATATCAGATCTGCAGCCGATGTAGATGTTGTTACTTGCACAAACAGAGCTGAGTTGACCAAACACATTCTGCGGTGTCCATATCCACAAGCATCCACAAGCCTTTGCCCAAAGTTTCACTGCAAGTCCGCACTCAGAGTATTTCATGAGAAGCCATTGGTGCGAAAAGGGTGGTTGATAGACAGTCCTTTGAGTTTCAATCCGTCCCAGGATGGGGAGGTGCTGGACGCTTCCAAGTGCTCATACCAAATGGTTCTGAGCAAAGAAGATCAACAGATCGCAAAGTGCGCCTGGTGAAATGTTGTGGAAGGGGGGGTGGTAACAGGGGATGACGAGTTGGGATGTGGCTACTTTCCACATTAGTCACTCAACCCAACAATTTTTGGGGTATTCTATAGCAAAGTCGCCCTGTTTCAGAAAAATCTCTCCAACTCATTGAACTGCGCCAAACACAGAGGGACAAAAGCCCGCGTAATGAGGTCGTTCTGGTCCTTGACCATGTATGATGGCAAGACACAGCTGCTGTCGGAGAACCCACTGAAGCGTTACTTGTTGAACAGCCCCATGCTCTCGTCGATGAAGACCGCGGAGGACCGCAATCATCGGCGGGATGAGACGGAGACATCGGCGAGTCAAAAGCAAGACGGAACTCCCAAGTCCGGAAAGCGATGGGGTGGCTCTTCTATGGAGATACCAACCATCCAAAAGGACCTGTATGTATGTTTCTATCTATTTCTTGTGGTTCGATCAGCAGCTTTCTTTTTTTCTTTTTCGGAACACAAGTGGAGCACATGTGGAGCAGGTGCACCAAAAGACGAAGAAAAGATGGGCCCAAGCCCTTCAGTTCGGCTGCCTCCCGCCCGATTCTGGAAACTGCTGTACAGGGCCAGCCCTGTTCTGAGAGAGACTCTGAATTAAGACTTGGTGATCGCAAGGGGGTGCTATGCACACTTCGTCACGAAGGCGACCCTGGATCCAAAGCCTTAGACCTTCATCCATCAGAAGAAGAAGCTGGCTAGGCGCTGACTTGGCAAGACACCTGGTGTGACTGAGATGCCAACACCCATTACAACTGATATGCTTATGACACTCCCAACCCCCAACCCCGGTGAACCACTCTTCCACTTCAGGGTCCTCCCCCTCAGAAGTCGGCCCCTTTCCACGGATCAGCGCCAGGACGGCTCGGTGACCTTGCACATCAGCGCCCAGTCGCCGGGGCCCGGTGAAGAGAGCAACTGGCTGCCAGCGCCCAAGGGACCCTTCTACTTGGTTTTGCGGCTCTACCTCCCCAAGGCGCCTGGCGCGACGAAGGTTCGCGCGCGAAGGCGGGTCCCCCCTTCGGCCCAGCTCGCTTCGCGGTTTCGGACCATAGACTCAGACTATGTCCGTTGAGCTCTTCCTGAGTGGGGACTTCCCTTCGACCCCTGCGCCGGGTGAGACCTGGGACAATACGGGTTTCGACCGGTTGGAACCGCAATGGAACCCAACAAAATCTGACGTCTTGACTGCAGCAATCCGTTTTTCACGTATTTCTCGACCGACTCGGTGACCGGCAGGTGGAGGCTTATGATGGTACGTGGCATCAACCAAAGTTGCTGCGCGTGTGAACCTGAGAGATCTAAGTTCAGCACGTATCCGAAACACCGTGGATCCCAGAAGTGTTTTCCGCAAGGAGCAATGGCGTGGCAGGAGGAAAACTGGCGTTGCAGTATGGCTGATATCGCACTGCAGATCATAGCTTGCATCTAGAGCCACCGGTTGGGTTTAGAACATGAATCAGTTGGGGGACCTCTACCTGCGCTAAGCTGGATTGCACTTGAAGATGTTAGAAGGATCTGTCCTGCTTGATTCCTGAACCCCCTGCGGCCCGCACTCTTCCAAACACCCATGAGCATCATGAGGACCCCATTCTTGCTGACCTGGAGCTTGGATTCTTCAAGCTTCAAGCACCTGCTACCTGCTGTATGCCACAGCCCTTCTTCTTCAATAGTATCACCTCACCCTCTCCACCCCATCATTGTCACTGCACACCAGACCTGACTGACCGGTGATGACTCATCACCGGAGGTCGAAGCGACCGCCAAACGCGGCAAAACCGACCAAACGTCTTTTGTCCTGAGGGTTTCTTCTCGCGTTGGTGTTGGGTCTAGGCATCGAAGAGGTTGGCTTCTCAACCACCACATCTTCTCTTCCGATTTTTTTCGACTTTTTTGTGAAGACCCTCTTTGCATGGCCATGGTTGTCCTCTAGACCATCGGGGCACTCTTCTAGTCGGGTCCTTCCGATATACAACATTTAGCCGGAGTTGATGGCGAATTGAGTTGATAGTCGGCTCGATTCCTATCTTTGTAAAACATTGCGTTCTTGCTCGATTTGGGTCTCACAGGGGTGTCAAGGAACAGGTCTGCTTGTGAAAATGTGGGACATGAATGATGTGACAGGGCCTATCCAGCTCAATGACCTTTGATTAGCGTGAATTCACACGAAAAGAACACCTAACCTGATCCGGCCCTACCTCACATCACATCCCACGAACAGAGCCCACCACCACACGTTCGGCGTGGACGCTCCAAAGCTCCCATCAAACATCGTAGGTTACGATCCACTTCATGGAGGAACCTGGGAAGATGGAACATGGGTCAGTCCGAGTCAGTCCCCCCCCCTTTTTTGACCCAGAGCCCATTTCAGGTTCCACTTGGTTTGCAGGGATGTTCCTCCTGACAAACCAGCTGTCAGGGCAGGTTCTAAGAAAACGAGGCTCGGCTCGGCTCCTTGTTGCTACTCCCAACTTGGAAGATGACTCCCCAAAGCAAACTCAGCCGGTCGAGAGGGGCGACTGACTCGGCTCTGTAGGGCGACTCCACTGCAAATGGAGGCACTTAGAACGTCTTACTTCCTCGACTTCAAGAAGTAGACCAATGAAGACAAGTTACAGGAGATACACTGAGCCTTTAGAAGGGGATCGTCCTGCCCTAGTTCAGTATTGTGCAAGCATGTCAACTGTCGGTTGTGCTAGAAGAGCCCTCGTGACATCCTGAGGGCGTCGTGTGAGATGCGTTGCACAAGGATTTTTTCTTCCACGACACATGCATGAATCCGCTGTATGGACCCCCAAAAAACACCGACCACTTTGAACAAATGCAAGTTCCGAACACTGTCGGTTTACTTCCCCATGCCTTATCGATCTTATTGGGACAGGCCAATGCACCAATTTTGAGAAACCACGTGGCACAACAGACAGAGGAGTTTTGTAAGAGACCATTCTCATCCATTTTTCCAAAGAGTGAATTCAGCTTTGTTTTTTCTTCGAATTTGCACGGGGTCAGTCTGGGCGAGGGCGACCCACAGGGCAGGTTTTCCACGTCTCGCGGTGGTCAGGCGCGGGGGCAATCGCGGTACCTATTGGTCTTTGATGAGACCAAGGAGGAGGTAAGATGGGTGGACATGGGGACAGGTATGGCAAGACGAGAAGCAAATGCCCTTCATGGTTTTGGAGATGCGGAAAGTATGTATCGCAGTGTTTTGATAATGCCGTGTGATGGACATGGGTGCAAGTGATGCATTCTTTGAGACATTGGCCTGGCGGCGTGATAAAGAGATCTACAATGTCACAATCCTTCTGGAATCGGTTCCACCTTCGGTGCGTGCGTGGGGAACACCCCCAAGATCCACAAAGCACAAAGCACCACAATCCACGAAAGTTGACCTGGCTGTCATGCACCTCGGCGTGTGCCATGATTTCTGATGATTTCTGATGCAATGCATGGATATCTCCCCACCTCTTCCACCTCTTCCGCACCACGGTGTCGCTCTTTCCGCCTTGTGAGGCTGAGCATGTGCCGGAGAAGCAGCGGATTCCCATGCTGATTGCCGCCATGGGCCACTGGACACACAATGGTTTGGGATTTTTTAGATACTTTTTGGCGGGGGAGAAGGGGGTGCTAGTGACTGAGCGAGTTGACTTTTCTCGATGCTTTCTTCGTCTATGGCACTATGGGTCTAAAAGCGTGGGGTCACAGACAGTGGTTTTTGGAGGTCTGGCCCCACCATGACCTGTGTGTCACTGGGAGTCCGAGGATGCAAGACAGGATGAACCGGGTCTTACTTGTCAACGGCGGCATCTCGGGGATGCCGCTCATCCACGTCTCAGCCATCAGGGGCAAGGAAGAGTCAAGAAAATTCACAAAACCAGGAGTCACATGGAGTTGGGTAGTTTTTGGCCCCCAAAAAGACCAGGAACTTCCAGCTTGACTGTGTCATGAGTCATGTGTGTGTTTTGCTAGTTAAATCATATATATATATATATATTTACAGAGATGTTTTTTTTTTTTCAGGCAAAGGGGCAGGGTTTATACAGAGGCTGCCGACACTTGGACTTGTTTCTGGTTCTCTGACTTGTTCATTTGAGACCCCAAGAAAGAACAAGACGAAACTCTTCGGGTTGATCTCTTGGTCGAGCTCTTCGTAATCTTTTTTGCCTCCGCAAAGCAACCTGCACCTGCAACCCTCGACGCGCAATCTTTTTAAGCTCTCATCACATCCAGGCCTACCAGGCCTACCACTATCAAAGCCTCCACCGTTGAGTTCCATCCCGTGTCCGACTGTGTCCGACTCCGACTGTGTCCATCCCTGTGTCCGCGGCTGTCCACGAGGCAAGGACGGCTTCGACGAGGTGAAGCGCCACGAGCGCAAGGCGATGATGACCCTCCACAGGCGGCTGTCTGCGAGTCGCGGACAGCGAGCTGTCCCAGGGGCGGGGAGAACCAAAATGAGGAACCGACAAAGTACGATCAAATAGGCGCAGTCTCTTTTTCTTGAATCATCCCTTTCCGAAAAAAAAGACAAGAAAAACGAATGAGAGTCCCAAAAAGGAAGAGTGTTTCAGCAGTTTCACCAGTTTCACCCAAAGGATGAGTGTCCAAATTCTTGTTGGGCGTCAATGGGACATGGCAAGGATCATTCTCATGCCTTTTGTTTGTCCAATGCCTTTTGAACTGCCATGAACTCAAGAAACCAAAAAACAAGAAAAACGGCGATGCTTACCAAACGTTCCCGGTTCCCGGTTCCGCATTGGGTCTTCGATGGGGTCAAACTCCGTGGGTCCACTCCGAGGCAGCGCCGGAAGACCGAGGAGGCCGCGTGTGCTCCACGCGGGCCACGCCGTGTGGCGCTGGTGACCGACCGTGGTGAAGAAAAGAAGTAAAAGAAGTGACTTGAGGGTTCAGGTTCAGGTTGCTGTCTGATTGTTTCTTGGTGAGCAGATGAGTAGCTAAAAGGTGCGTGGGTTCTTGACAGATCCATGCAACGACAAGAGGTTGTCATTGAAGTCAAAACAGACATCGTGACGTTCTTCCTGCTGCTTCCTGGTGTGTGAAACATAGAAGCAAAACAACCTCAAGCTAGTCCGGCAAAAAGGCCATCATCTTCCACTTGTATCTCTTCACGGTGAGAACACACGACCCCTTGTTTCCTGCCCAGGCTTGTGGACCACCTCTGCAACCACACAGCCATCCACCTCCAGACGTTACACGTTCTCACCCCGTTGGCGAACCCGCTGAGACGGGCGCCCGAAGTCGTCCGGAGACGGACCGCGGATCCGTGGATCCGCGGATCGCAGGAGGAGTCCGAGTGGGATCAGATGCCCAGCTCGGCGGAGGAGGCGAAATCGGATAACATCTTGAGCAGCTGGGTGAGGAACTCACCGCTTTGGGTTTGTATCTTCAGGCCTCGGGGGTTTAGGAATCAATGGTCATCCCAGCGAAGTGACCCAGAAAAGTGGGGTGAATGGGCTTGATTCGGAAAATCAGGAACTCTCAGGTTCCAAGTCCCAGAAGGGACATCTCTTTTTTGCAGATCTGGAAGACCCAGGACTCAATTCTAAGGCTGCCCACATGTGTCAGCCATTCTGTTTCGATGCTGTTCTTTTGAGTCCTCCTCTCGGCCAGGCGCGCAAGCGCGCGATGAAGTTGGCCTCTGAGGCAGAGGTCCCTCCGTCGTGTGCCGACAGACGGACGGCCTCAGACGGTCTCCTCACTGGTCGCTGGGGTGGTGACCATGCTGGTGGTGGTGGTGGTGGTGGTGTGAGTCACTCCTGAGGGTGAGCGAATTGGAAGATGTGTTCTTTTTTCATCTTTTTTAAAAGTCTTCCTCAATGAGGTGGGTGACGTTAAGACTTCAAAGAAGAGAAACTGTTGGACACCCAAACCCACCTCTTTCCGAAGGCAAATTGGACCAAGGCTCGTGGTGAGTGTGGACCTCACTGTTGGTGAAACTTACGTTTCCTGCCCCCTCTTGGATTTGTTACAGCAACTCCTCCATGTTTTTTTGGTCTTCTACGGTGCCCTTATAAGTGGGGCTGTCACAAGTCTATGTGCCTCCTCAGTGGATCTACCAGCACCTGGTGCCAATCCGACTGCCTAGGTTCTTCCCTAGGCTCGTAGCCCGACCCGCCGCTATTTCCATGATCGGAGGCGCCGCTCACATCCCCCAGACACGTTCGTAGCAGGTGCGAAGGACCTGGACGGGTTCCCACAGGTGGGGGGGGCGCGTGGACGGTGCGGACCCGTGGACAGTTGTGTGGGCTGAGAATGACTACTTCTTTGCTTCTGGGCTTCATGAACTCATGGTCAGACCAGAGACTAGGATCCGGGAGCTGAAGTAAAGCAACATATGAGATTCGATTTCATCGTGCCATCCACGTTCAACAGTGCGCACGTCAAATAGGAATAGAGGAAATCGGATCCAATGCACTCATGAAGCACAGCAAGATATGGCAATATCATGCACCATCCTATTCAGCGCATGGCATCTCCACAGTACACAGAACCCGCCCTAGACCTTCAATCCTCCTGCGGGTTCGACGTGCACAACAAGGCTGACCAGGTCATTGGAGAGTCTTCGATGAATCAGTGAGACCCCCAGTCGAATCAGTTCTCGACGAATCAACAGTGGAATCCCAAAACAGGTGGAACCAGCAGGAGCCAACTCGCTTAAAGTCCACCAGTTTTTGGAAGACACGGCGGAGTCCTCCCGGTGGGTCGGTGTCCACCAGGTCCATGTCGCTCGGTCGATGTCACCTCGGCCACGTGGCAGGATGCCCAGGTCCCGACTCGAAGGCGTGGATTTGGCCCAATTTGGTCAGAAGACTCGGACAGTTGACGAATCTGTTTTTTCAAAAGATGACCTGTCGTTAGACAATCTGTCCTGAGTCTTAGGTCCTGTCATAAGACTTTTAAGGTCAGTTAGGCCAATCTGTAATATATATATATACACCGTACTTGGATGCTATGTCAGACAGCACCATTCTCAGCCTATATAGTTCTAGGACTTTCATTCTAGCAATAGATGTTAACGTCTAAAGTTAGAGGGTTCCCCCTGAAAGAGCAAGAGTTACATCAAAAAAGTCAGACATCCAATGGTTGTCGGTCGCACCATTCTCAGCCCAGCCATGGGACTTTGTACCCTGGCCGATGCAAACATTGAGATTTGTATGTCATACACCCAAGTGCAGGGATTTGATGTGGGCACTCCAGATCAAATGTGGACGTTCTTCCATTTTGGAGTCAAATCACCAAAAAATGAGTGACCGCATTCGTACATCAAACTTTCTACCAGATTGAACGCCTCTTTTCGAACGCGTCAGTTGTGATTCGTCTCTTGCGCCTCCAGCTGGCGCTGAACTCATCACAGGCGACTCGCAGAAGATGGAGGCCACAGGGATGTGGTGAATTCGTGTGAAGGTTCTCCCATGTCATTTTGAAGCCTTCTTCAGATAAACACATCCAATAAACTCTCAAACAAAAGTACATACCTATCAAACCGTTCATGTCTGATACTCAAAGAAGCACATGTTCTTCTCCCACCCCATCCATTGACTCTCGGTCCCGTGTATTGGCTCCGGGATGGATGGTAAACGGGTAAAGTCTTAGCGAGCACAAAGAGTCTTTTAAAAAGCGAATCCTTTACACAGAGATGAAACGTAGTCTTTCGGATGAAGCGTAGTCTTCACTCAGAGGTACCAGAGCATGTTGAAACAATCAGCTCACGATGCTTGTCGTGCTTGGCCAGTGTCATCACATGTCAAAGCTTGACACTTCATTTCATCCCAAACATCTCATGTTCCCTTGAAAACCAGTTGATTTATTTTGACCAATGACCGTGAATAAACCCACGTCTTGCGCCAAATCCCAGGCCCCGGCGGTTGTCGCCGGACCACCGCCTCTGCCGCCTTTGCCGCCGCGGATGCTGGTGAGGTCGAACTCAGCAGAGGTGTGGTGGGACATCTAGCTTTGCCTGCAAACATGGACAGATTTGGCCTTTTTTTGATGGAAAAAGGACCACTTGAGGTGAAGAATGCCATGGTTTTTCCAGCGTGGATGCCATGTGGACTCAGTCCCTTTCAGGAAAATCGATGGTTTGCAAAGCAAGCTAGTATTTTTGTAGGTCGATTGTGCAGTTGATTGTTGCAAGCTGAGTATCCCTCATGTCACCCAACGAAGCATTTCTGACAAAGGCTGCGTATCAACAGGATGACTCGACATGAGACCTGAAAAAACTCGACATGAGACGCGCACACCTCACATGGGCAGGCAGAGTTGTGCCGTTTGGAACCTTTGCAGGTGCGGCACAAGGGATAGCCGTGCGGCACAGAAGCTTTCAAACAGTTGTGCTAAGAGAACTCCAGCCTTTGGCAAGCTCAGGTTGCATGAGCTCATCAGTTTGGAAGTTTGGCAACCTCTTGGTTCGGGAAATTGGTGTTCTACATCGCAATGCTCGCTCAAAGCCAAGCAGCTTTAAAGCGAAGCAGCTCCTAATAGGATGGAAACTCGCTGCAGATGGAGAGCAGTGCTGTCATGAGAGCAGATGGATTATTTTCAAAAAGATCTCTTCAGTGGATTTTTGCAACATGCAAACAGTGCTTTGACTGAGAGACAGCACCAGTGGCATTCTATAATTTGCCGCGAGCTGGAGCAACCAACTGAGGGAAACTTTTTGTGATATGGAGAGGACTCCAAAAGCAAGCAACATCAGCATGGAAATCTAGCAGACGGCACCCTGATGTGCAGAACTCCTGTGATTGCGCCATGGCCATGAGAATTTCAGCACTGCAGTTCAATGATGAATTGATTGGTTTACACATCACGCCCAAAATGACGGGATCAAAGAGGAGCAGCTTTGGGATGAGGCTACTTGCAGAATCACAGCGGTGGAGATTCTTATGGGAGACAGGTTGCTGAGCAATGATGAGCGTGCGGGGAGGATACAGGGCGTTTTTTTGCAGATTCTGTTGTTAGTGTAGTCTTCAAACCAAACACAGTGACATGCTCCAACAAAGGTGCAATTGCCAGCTTTGGTAGTGAGATTGACTTGGAGCTCTTGCCGGTTGCAATCCCAAGCCATGCAACACGAATTGGTGAGAGGGCCTTCCATCACTGCGAAGTGGCCAAAGTGTTCATCCCAAATTTGACTATCCTGAACTCAGTGACCTACATAGGGGCAAGTGTTTCGGGGCTGCCAATCTTTAGCAATCTTGACCATCACGGATTCAGCAACCTATACGTTGGGCTCGCGCCTTTAAGAATTGCATATCGTTGGTGAGCTTGACTCTTCCGAATTTGCTGACCATTATCAGCAATGATGCCTTTCAGGGTTGCAATTCTTTGGTAAATTTGAGTCAAGTTTACCAAAGAATTGCAACCCTGAAAGGCATTGCAACCCTGAAAGGCATCATTGCTGTAACTTGACCATCCCCTGCTCAGTGACGCACATTGGGTATGGTTCGTTTGTATTGCAGCTTGGTGAACTTGACCATACCCAACTCGGTCACAGACATTGGGGCACAAGTGCCTTCAAGCATTGCATGTCTTTGTGGCGAGCTTGACCATCTGTGGGGCTCGATCTGCCAGACCCTGGCGACGCCGCTCGATAGCACGGCAAAAGGTTCAGCCGAAGCGCAGATCCGATTGAAGACTTCCTTACTGGATTGAATGCCTTCAAGCGAGTGTGCAGAACAAGCAGAACCCGCGAACAAGCAGTGTGCTTTCAAGCAGAACAAGCAGTCCAAGCACTGCCAATTGACGTCGGTATACTATAGTTTCCTGTAAGCGTTGACGGAGGGCTGTGCTCCTGAAAAAGCTGAGAATGTTCCAGTCCCACAAGCCGCTTCAAAACATGCAAGGGATCGGTAGGTCAAAACCAACCACCAATACTCAGACATTTGCTGACCATGTTTGGTGGTGGCTATGGGATCGGTAGGGCCAGGGCCCCCCAACCATCGACACGGTCGTGGCACGAAGACTCGTGTCGGGCTCGGCTCGGCACGTGCGGGGGTACTGCGGCTTGGTGAAGAGGATTCGAAGTTCGGTTTGGAGGTGTAGTCACGAGAAGACTGAACTAGGAAGTTCACTTTTGAAACGACGTGGTGTATGATGCTCAAGCTAAAAGGGGGACGGGGCGACCGCTTCATGAAGCCCTCGAACGTGGCGCTCCTTTGGCTCGCACGGCTTGCGGATTTGAGCTTTAGGAGTGGATCCCACGATTCGAGGCACCCTGAAAGCAGTCACCACTTTTACAACCAGACCTGTTCTTGTCAGTGTTTTTGCGCTGGAACTGAGCAGAGGACCCTGGACATTGGACTAGGCTTTGCACTGGGCGTGTTGGTCAGTTGGGCTTTGTTTGGTCGGTCTTCCCGAAAGGCTGTGGAGGTCGATTGGGTTCCGGCCGATGTCGCATTTGCGAGCCCGAGACGACGCGGTGGAGGTGTTGTCCAGTTGCCCGCCCGGACAGCTGGCGGTCGTGTGGTATAGTGATGATTCAGTTTATCACGAGCGGCTTATGGTTTGGAGGGCTGGTGACACTGAGTGGTTTGTGCTGACCCCTGACGGGGACTTCTATAGAGAGGACTGGTCAGGCCATTCAGATGAGGGTCCCATCAGCTTCAAACTGAAGAAGACAGACTTTAGTCACTTCTCCCGTATCAGCCAACCAGTGTATCGTTTTAGTTCCTACCCCGATGACGACCGGTTCAGAGAGCTTGTGGAGGAGGCCCTCAACGAGTTAGGTGAGTTAGGCAGTGGCTCCCTGAGTTGGACACCCCGCAAGGTCATTGACATGAAAGGCAAGGAGGTGGAGGCTTCTCTTTACCTGGGACGCCTGATAGTGCCCCGGAGGTTGAGACGTCGAGATGGAGGCTATGTCGCTGAACCCATTCCCTCCCCAGTGGCAGTGTCAGGCTTTCCTAGGTCAGGACTTGCACCGGCCCCTGAGGGCCACATGTGGGTCGCCTTGCATGACACCTCCGCCTTTGACCTTGGGAAGGAGGCCAACGTAGGCTTGGAGAAGGGCATCCAGTTGGACAGCGACCATGGAGCCATCCCTGATGAGAAGGGATGGACCTTGATGAAGCTGCTCAAAGTTGAGAAGGTTCCCGCAATGGTTGAAGAGCGAGAGAAGCTGGTGCCCAGTCGGTTGGAGCTTCGTGGTGTGCCTAGCAGGAGCCTGGAGACTGGCGCCAAGAAGGAGGAGGCTGGAGGTGAGGAAGACGCTGAGGTCTCAGAGGACGCCAGGACTCTGAGTGTTTGCTATGATGATCAAGGAGAGAGATACCGGTCATGGAGGGAGGCCACAAAAGAGGCAAGGGAGTATTCCTACTCGGACTGGCCCCTGGAGGGGCCCCAATCCGTGCTCCACTTGATGAAGTACATGTTGAAGAATGGTGGCAGCCCCAAGCAATGGTTGTTGATTTGGGCCCGACACAAAGGAGTGCATGACAATGATCGAGTCATGCATGAAATGCGTGCCTTGTTGGAGAGCTTCGAATTGGCAGGCTGCTATGACCAGTTGAACCTTGGCAGTTTGGCCTGTTTTGAGGCCTTGGGACGCAGGGTGCAGAGCATTGTCGATGCCTACAACAGCGGCTCCTCCGCCTCTCCAGATTGGGGGGGCGGCGAAGATCATGTCGGGATACCAAGGTCCAGAGGATCTGGTTTCTCCTTCCCTTCGCACTTGGGCAGCCAAGAAAGGAAAGGAGGAAGTTGAGATTGCAGCCGCCCGGACGAAGATGAGAGAGCACAAGCGGCTGCAGATCCCCACAGAAGATGCTGCCGCCTCCGCCGTGGCTGACGGCAACCTACCTCCCGGCGGACCAGCTGCCAAAGCCAAGCGCAAGGCCAAGGCGAAGCAGCTTGCTCCGCCGGAAGACACATGACTCAGGCGGATGGGGGGCCCCCTATGTCCTCTCGGGGGGTCTCCAGCAGACTGGCAGCTATGGGAGGACAACGCCCAGATCCAGCCAGAGTGAGTCGAGATTTGTTTCCTTTGCCCTCTCCAACTTTGCCGAAGAAGCCTGTGGCCGGGAGCCGTCGGTCGCAACAGCGTTTGGATCGCAAGTGGAGACACTATGAGACGGTGAAGGAGGCAGTAGACGGCTTGAACTGGCTGGCGTGTGATAGTTTTTTGCATGGTACAGATGTTGAACCAGATGGCATTCAGCTGGAGGTTTACAACGAATTCATGAACTAGCCCAGGACGCAGGACGGCTGGGCACCTTGGAGCAGATTCCAAAACCTGAGGCAGCCTTACGAGAGCTGCTCAAAGGGAAGTCGGAGTATCACCAACCCGAAGTCCCTGTGGCTTTGGCTCCCTACAAACTCGAGCGCATTTCTCTCCCGAGCAGCTTGGAGAACCTTCCGGAGGCTCGTGACCTTCTGCCGGAGAATGCCCGTCGATATCTGTTGGGTAGAGAGCTCATGCTTAGGGAGGAGGGCGCTTATGATGCCCCCCGCCCTTACTGGGACCCTGTTTTGGCGAACAACAAGAAGCATTACAGAGAGTTCATTGAAAAGTTGAACAGTGTTGGCATGTTGCAGTTCACTCAACACCCCAAGAACCATGTTGGAGTTTTCTTTGTGCACAAGAGTGACAAACAGAAGATACGACTCATTGTGGATGCACGGTCGAGCAACGCATTGTTTAAAGAGCCCCCAGGTGTTGAACTTTGTTCGAGTGAAGGGTTCAGTCGCATCGAATGTGAGGTGTCGGAAGGTGTGTTGCCAGGCAGTGCAGAGTTTTTGCAGGAACTTCAATCCATGGAGCTACATGTTGGTTTGTCCGATGTCAAAGATTGCTTCCACAGGCTCAAACAACCTCGGTGGCTTGCAGAATACTTTTGCTTTATGCCGATCAAGGCTCACTGGGTTGGTTTGACAGGGAAGTGTTTGGATGGGGTTACATTGGGCTGCAATGACATTGTTTATCCTATGCCGGGTAGTCTTTGTATGGGGTTCTCG